CGCGGCCCGGCCCGGGACCCCGACCCCCGAGGCAGCGGCCACGCCCCTGGGACTGTAAACCGAAGCAGGGACCTGTGGGAGACCGGACGAAAGAAGCTTCAACTCGTACGTGAAGTTTGCCTCCCCGAACCCCGAAGGCGCGGGAGGGAACCCCGAGCTCCGGGCGGCGCGTCCGCCGAGGACGCCAATCCGCTCCTCATCCGCAAACTCCCACCCTCTCTCCAACCCGCCCGGGCGCTGTCCCAAGTGAGGACGCGCAAAGGGGCACGGGAAGTGGAGTCCGACGGGGACGTCCCGCCCCGAGGCTCGGCGATGGAAGAACTACAACTCCCAGAGGGCCCTACGGGGCTGGGCTCCCTGGGCGAGTAGTTCCTGCTTGCCTTGGGCTGAGGCCAGCCGGCCTGTCCCGGGACTAGGACGCCAGAGTACATTCGCCCCGACAGGACCCTACGAAAATGCGAAGACTGGGGTCCAAGGTGGTAGTGTGAATACTGTAGAAAAGTTTGAATGAGGGAGTAGTTTGAATGTGGAAGACTTCCTTAAATCCTGGAGTCAAGAGTCCCCGCACAACTGGCTGGTTACCATTTGCAAAGCTCAGCATGGGGTGCTTTATAATAAATAAATATTATAATTAATAAATTTATTATTTATTATAATAAATAGTTACTCTTCCCGTTTAGAGAAAATTCTTGGGCTGGGTGCGGGGGTCGGGGGAGGAGGGAAGGTGTGCTCAAGGGTCAAGTGCATCTGCCTAGCAAGCATGAGGCTCATAACAAACACCAGTACTTGAATTTTTTTAAAGAAAATAATCAGGCATAAATCGTAACGATCATACACATATAGAACATCTCATAGATGTGTTTACTTGCATCTGGAATATTTCTTGTGGGGAAAATCCTGCCCACACCCAGTGTTTCAGAACCCTAAATGAACAGACAATCCAGCCTTTCAGAAATAGTTAAGTGTATGGGGCTGGGAAGGTGGCTCAGTGGTAGAGCGCTTGCCTTGCATGCCTGAGGCCCTGGGTTCGATTCCTCAGCACCACATAAGCAAAAAAAGAAAAAAGCCGGAAGTGGCGCTGTGGCTTAAGTGGTAGAGCGCTAGCCTTGAGCTGAAGAGCCAAGGGACAGCGCCCAGGCCCAGAGTTCAGACCCCACGACCGGAAACAAAAAAAAAAAGAAATAGTAAGTGTAAGGTCGGCTTCTAGATGGCGAGCAGACTCCATTCACCTAGCAGCAAAGTCTCCACCCAGTACCTGTGTTACCTAGGCAACGGACACCTGGAAGAGGTCACATCTGCATCCGCTGAGGCCACATCTGGATTCCATGTGGCCACATCTTCCCCCCCCCTCTACATAAGGCCTAACCCAGGTCCAGACGCCCTCTTTCCCAGCTCTCTTTCCCAGGCCTTTCCCAGCCGCGTGGAGGGCCAACATGGCCAGCTAGAACCATGAATAAACCTATCCCTTACCTGAATACCACGTGCATGGTGTGATTCTTACTCGGCTACCTCTTTTTAAAAACTTAACAGTAAGAGGGATTCACCTTTCCCTGAAGCAGTCAGGTAGGGGTGTGGTTTTGTGATTTGCCGGTCTTGGGGTTTGAACTCCAGGTGTAGCTACTGTTCTTAAGCCTTTACATTCAAGGATAGCTCTCTACAGCTAGTGACAGTTTTTCAATGGGGTTTTTTGGGGGGTGGTTAATTGGATAAGAGTCTCACAAACTTTCCTGCTTGGGCTGGCTTCAAACTGTTATCCTCAGATCTCAGCCTCCTGAGTAGCTAGAATTACAAGTGAGAGCCACCGGTACCCAGCAAGGAATTGTGCATTTTTAAATCACCACTAAATCACTGTTGGTAATGTCTTTTTACTGTTTCCAAACTGCCGACCCCCACATGTGGACGGTGGGCAGAGAAGGGGCAACTTCTGCTGGATTGGAGTTAGTGTAGAGACAGGGCAGGGAAGGGGGAGTGGCCACAGCAGATGTGGACATGACCTCAGAGTCTGGGAACCTCCCATGGTCCAAAGGAGGCATGGCTGGGGCAGTCCAGGATATGACCTCAGAGAGAGGGGAGGTAACTGCCTCCAGGTGTGCCTGTCACCTGGGTAACACAGATGTTGAGCAGAGATTTCTGGGGGAGGACATGTGCTGTTCTGCATAAAGAACAAAGGAGGAGGAGTATGTGCAGGCTCGCATGGAGAATGTGGCCCTTTTCCTGGGCAGAGGTAACAAAATGTAGGATCCCAATTTGATAAGATTGTGTCTTTATAAAAAGAGGAAGAAAGAGAGAGAAAAATACCGATATAGCCACACACCAAGAAAAGACCATGTAATTACACAGGAATAGGGGGCACCTGCAAGTCAGAAAGAGGGGCTCCAATGGCACCTTAGCTTCAGCAAGTCTCACTATAGTAAGTCAGGTATTGAGAGCATCAGACAGCATTGCTTTGGATCCTGTGTAATAAGGTGTAACCACAACTGTCAGAGAGCGCCATTGTCACCATTTCAGCAAAAACGTGGTATAAGCTCTGGTGCAGACAGGCCCTGATATTTCAGTCATGGTAGTTTTAAGTCATCAGTGTTAGGAAACTTAATCACAAGGGTATTAGAGTAAAGAAAGAGCAGAAACAATCTCAACAGACCAGATGGCTTTAATGAAGAATTGAAGCAGGATCCACAGTGACCTAAGGAGGGTCAGGAGAAATGAGGCATGGTATAATGGCTACAGAGGTGGAGGGGCTTAAATAGGGTAATGGTTAGGAGTCAGGGTCTCAGGGTCTCAGAGCTCAAGGGTTTAAAGGGTGTGGGAGGGGGCAGGACCACAGGTAGCTGAGGTTTCAGAGTCTCCTGAGTATATGGTATAGGACTGACAGATCTGAGAGCCTACTGTTTGAGTCCTCTGACCCATCTCTTCCGGGAATTCAGGTGCCTATCACCTGGGAGTGAGGATGGGGAAGTGAAATTTCACAATTAGATTAAGATTGTGGGTTGGAGACTGAGCTGGAGAATATTGGGAAGTGCCCCCTGGGGGAAGGGTAATCAGTGCCCCAAGCCATTGGAACAATCCTGAGCTATGAGAAAGCGATTCCCATCACAGAGAACCTTCAAGACAATGGAAAGTTGGCACTTGGATGCCAGTACACTCTGAACTCTGTCAGCACTTGGCACAGACTTGGTAGGCATCATGAGCAACAACCTTTGTCCTGTACGAGCAATCAGTGGTGTGTCTTGCCAGGGTAAGTGTAGGAGGTGTATGGCATGTGTTAGCTGCCATGGCTTCCTGCAGAGTCCTTGTGTAATTAAAAACAGTCAGCACATGTGACACAACCTTTGAGGAGCTCTATAAATATTTTATGTTTGCTGAATGGTAGTGGTGGTGAGCTGAAGTTTAAAAGAAAGGCTAAAAGTCCTGAAATCATGATCTGGGAACAGACCAGAGGAGGAAAACTGAGCAATTGGTATTTTGATCCTCGTTCTACCATCAGGCAAGGATGGTTTGAGAAATAATAACTCCCTATACCAAATTGTCTTCAGAAAGTTTCATTTGATAGGATGCAAAACTCGGTTTTAATGTGAGACTATACTTTAAAAAAAACATTCACTGTTTAATTTCCAATGGTGCACACAGGTTCTAGCTCTCATAAATTCTTATGAAATTGTAGGATATGTGATAGAAATACTGTAGGGGGCAATTTCATTATACCACTTACTGCTTTCTACATAAATTTTCCCCTGAGAAATTTGGTTTACAACAAAGTATTAACATTAGAACAAGCATTAGGAAGCAAAATTTTTCCTTGGTTGCTAGAAAGCTTGGTGTCTAATTTTCCACTTAATATTTAGAACCGAATGGCCATTATTAGAACTGTGATCTTTCCTTCCAGAGTATCACTGGATTGGAAGGGAACTAAACTGGAGCAAGATCAGTTAGGAAGCTACTGTAACAATCCAAGTAAGAGAAGGAGGTGGAGAAAGGAGTCAAGGGTGGCTCCTGAGTTTCTGGCTTGGATAACTTAAATCATTTAGCGTTCACCTGGGAAAGAGATGGAGCAGAAGTTAGCAAGTTCATTTCAAATCTATAGATCCGGAGGTTCTCTGGAGAACTTAAGTAGAAATATCTTCTTGGAGATTATATGTGCTAGAACTCAGATTAAGTTTGAGCTAGGGATATGACTATGGGACTTCTCTAAACATGGTCATTGAAATAATGGAAGAGTAGACTCTTTCTTTGAAACCTCTGCTCACCAGCACTTACCATAAAGTGCATACAAAATATTTATAAGACTACCCAAGGATTATCTCATAGGTGCTGACAAACAGTGCTTTCTTTCATCCAGTGAGAGAGAGAATAGGAAAAGTAAACTAGAGGCCCCAGGACAAGTCTTTAAGGAACCTGACCATATAAGAGAAGAGTAGAGAAAGTGATGAGTTACAGAGGGATAGGAAGCAGACTGGATATGAAAGAAATCAAGAGAAAAACATTTTTAAGAAGCAATGGGGCAGGGATGGGGGTTTAGCTCCGAAGAAGAGCACTTGCCTGGCAAGTACAGGCCCTGAGTTTGATCCTCAGCTCTGGAAAAAGAAAGAAAAAAAAAGCAGAACCAATGGGGCAACCATTTCACCTAAGGACTCATACCTGAGAAATTTGTTTGTTTTGTTTGTTATTTATTGTGCCAGTACTGGGACTTGAACTCAGGGTCAGGATGCTGTCCTCTGGCACTCAAGACTGGCACTCTACCACTTGAGCCACACTTTTACTTCTGGCTTTTGGTTAAAATCTCAGAC